AGCATTATCTTTATAAGTAGTGTCATGCCAGTTGAGCTAGATGTTCCCCGAGACCATGGTCCCCAGAGCCCTCCGTCCAGCAACTCAGTCCCTCAGGGAGTTTGGATGTGTCGGACCTACTTTTGCTGCCTGAATCAGCTCGAAACAAACCTCCCCCTTTCTCAGAACACTACCCCCCTTTGAAGTCCCCAAACCTGGCCGATGTCAGAGTTAGAGAGCTTTCCAAACCTGGAGAGCTTTGGAAACCTACTGATCAGCATCTCTGGAGGTGCGTCCTGGAAATCTATATCTTTTAAAGTTTCCTGGGTAAAGCTTTCAGCAGGTTTGGGACTACTGACCCACCCCGAAGGATATTCATCCAACTTGTGTGATCACCCCAGTGATGAGAATGTCCTGAGACTTGTCACAAAATCCAAGCTTGCTAATACCATTCCTGCACATAAAATCCAGTAAATTATCATTTTAAAAATTTAAGTGGTGCTTTCAAGCTCTTAATGGAGTGCCTGAGCTTTAGGGACCAAGAAGGTGGAGAAAAAGTGGGGAGCTAGGGGCCTGCTAAGCTCACCTGCTTGCTCAGGAGTTCGCATCTGCACACCTTCCCTGTTGCATGGTTGGTCCAAATGTATGTCTCAGGGAACATGCAGATGACCACGTCCTGACCTTTTGGGGCCATTCACTAATGGTAAAGTGAAGATATTAAATCTGAGAATGTCAAGATCCTGCTACATATGCAATGTGATATATTTGGCCTAAACTAGTTGCCATCGAGTCGATTCCAATTCATGGCGACCCCATGTGTGTCAGAGAAGAACTGTGCTCCATAGGGTTTTCAATGGCTAATTTTTCAGACGAGCTCTGGTGGTGCCATGGTTAAGAGCTCAGCTGCTAATCAAAAGGTCGGCAGTTTGAATCTACCAGCTGCTCCTTGGAAACCCTATGGGGGGGTTCTACTCTGTCCTGTGGGGTCTCGGTGAGTCGGAATTGACCCAGTGGCAATGGTTTTTTTTTTTATTTTTCAGAAGTAGATTGCAAGACCTTTGTTTCAAGGTGCCTCTAGGTGGACTCGAACTCCCAACCTTTTGGTTAGCAGCTGAGCACATTAACTGTTTGTACCACCTAAGAACTCCACTCTTCCTATAATGAATATGTATTCCTTTTGTGAAGAGACAATAAAGGGTAATAAGTACAATTTGAAATTTCATATTGTTCCACTCACTTGAAATGCCCTGATTTCCGGCAGATCCTGGGGCCCTTTAGGACAGAGACACCCCTAGGTGGAAGCCCCCTCCTTGCACTGGGGGTGAGGGGTAGTGGACCAAACCTATTGCTGGTTAACACTCAACTGTAACCAAAAGGTTGGAGGTTCATGTACACCCAGAAGTATCCTGGAAGAAAGGCCTGGCGATCTACTTCCCAAAAATCAGCTATTGAAAATCCTTTGGAGCACAG